ATGCCGACGTCATATTCAAATATGCACGCATTTAGGCCAAAATACATAACTATGTTAATCGTAAATCCTGTTTTACTTGTATAACTTGTGTTTGTTTTTGAACTTTCTAGAAAGAGAAGTATTTTGGCTAAGCAGTTACTTAATTTTGGGTGATTATAAATTTTATAAGATAATATTTATTTCACTATGATCCGGTAAAAACAAAGCAACCTAACTGATTTAGCGCTATCGAATTCTTCCAAAACAGTTTCTCGACCTTGATTCCAAGGTCAAAGTTCAACTAAAAAATAAAATTATAAATAAAAGCAAATATCTAGCGATCGAAAATTAAATGAAATAGAATTTTTAACTCCAGGTATTGCTGAAAAGAGCCAAACTGTTCGATTCGTCAAAAATAAATTCCCTTTCGTGAATTCCGAAGTCAATGGTTAACTAAAAAAAAAAAATTGTTTTAAACATAGCTAAATGTTTTTTTAAGTCGTTTTATGCGATATATGTACATTAGTGTGGTTCAAAAAATTTTTTTTTGGAAATTCTAAACGCTGCCTCAAATTATTGTTATTTGTGATAAAAAAAGAGAAACGTTTTTTTTATTTTGTAAAAAAAGTTTTCGGTCGGTTTTTTATAAAAAGGCTGATGCTCTAAATTTTTTTATTTTCTTGACATGTTAAAACGCAGCAAAGAATGTGGTTTTTACATATAATTACTTTGGTATTATTGGGGAACATTCCGTTAATTACATACCTGCCTTGGGCAGTTAGAATGGGCCTAGTGCCCGAAAATATGATCTCGAAAAGAGACTAGTAAAATTAAAACGTTGATACTGAACGACTTTCGCGTTGTCATGGGCTGGAATTTGTTACCAGCGGGTTTCTGGGGTTGCTAATTAGAAATCTGAAGACAGTTTTTCAAAATTCAAAATTTCGGATCCAAAACGGCGATCTATTTAAAAAAAAATGGTTGGATTTGTTCGAAAACCGTCATTCGAGAGTTTTTGTGGTAGCCGATTACGAATCTGAAGTCAATTTTTATACCCGAGCGCACTTGTGCACAAGGGTATTATAACTTTGTTCACATAACGGTTGTTTGTAACAGGCAAAACAAATCGAGATAGATATAGACAAATGTATACATAAATGATCAGGATGAAAAGAGAAATCGATTAAGCGGTGACTGTCTGTCCGTCCGTCCGTCCGTCCGTCCGTCCGTCTGT